TCCATAATTGTGACTTGTCAAAGGCTTTTTATGCTGGTGATGACGATCTTGTTGTCGTGATCGCGTATGGTGCATGGACATCAGTTAATTCAGCGTAGGCGATCGAAAGCCGCTGGAATATGTGTACCCGATACTGAAGCGTTGCGTGAAATTCTTCAATCACTAGCCATGGAATGCACTAAAGTATACCCAACTAACAAATAAGAGCTCCACCCTGCACTAAGAAGATACTTGCTTCGAGTTCAGATTGAGAGAATCTTCCAATCCGCACGCCAGGAAGCTTTCCACTGCTCGGGTTCCCCATCGGTTGCCGAACTAATGCAGTTGCTGCGCCGCGTCATTTCGGGGACTACGGGCTTCAGTGACCGCTGAAATGGATTGTCCTACGCTGAATGGCACCGACCCGTTCGGTCTGATAGAATATTGCCACCAAATTTCCCACAAATCATGTAAATACTTACACTTAGAAATAGGTTAATCGTCGAAGTGAAGAGCAGATACGACGGCGTCTTGTAGGACTTTATGTATTTCATGCGACCGAAAGTTGGTTCTTTTCTTTTCCTCCAAATGCCCACATCCCGAGACAACCACGCCGATGCCCCATCTACAATGGATTGCAATAATTTGCGTCATACCAAGCTTCGCCTCAAGCATGACGTAAGTTTAGGATAAGCAGAAGTCTTCGCGACGCGAACACTAAGAACTCTCGCTGCTCATCTAAAAATCTGTTCTATAGCGCTCCACGACTTCGACACTTACACAACCAGCACCAAATCTACTATTAATGCTGGGCTAACCTTTGGTAACCGCATTCAAAGTTCACCTTGCTGCATTCACAAGCGGCAAAATCCCTGGAAGCAAATACCACCAAGTCGTCTGTGTTTTAAATTATCTCCATATTGGCTTCATCAAGATAATTCGTTGCAAAAAGTAGTCCAAGAGAATTACTCCATCGTCAAACGAAATCGTAGTGACCTGACGCCGTGTTGGGTTCCCAAGTTTGACACGTTCACGCTTAGCACTTTCTCCACTAACGCATGTCTGCTCGGCAATACCAGAAACCACGAGCAGGGTCAGCTCAGACTCTTCGGACCTTGCGTGTAGTTTCTACGACTGGAGTTCCGCTGAGCTCGTGAATCGTAAGATCATCGCTTTAATCACTACCACAGCTGTTCGATGATCTCAGTATCGATCTTCTGGCACTTCTAGCCTTATTGCAAATACAGCGGCCGAAGCACTACAAGAAAGAGCAACATCATTGTTTAGTTCGTCAATCCAACAGCTCTTCACAGCACGCGTGGCCGGCTTCTCCTATAACCGACGCACCACGCTGTGGAGTCGACGAGGCCTTCCTTCGTACAAAACTCGAAGAAATCCTCTCCCAGCTCCACAGTAACTTCTAATTGTGGTAAACACTGAGCTTCACTGGAATTGAAGAATTCCGCGATGTACTAGCGCAGCCCAACTTCGGTATGAAGAGTCGGCGTTACAGAAATGCCCTACTGGCAACCACTCAGATGCAGACAGAGCCGACCTTCGACTAGAAAAAGACCGATCTTATCCTGGCCAAAGCTATAGATATCTCGGCGTCAATCTTAAGCTGCGAAATTAACTGTAAAAGGGATTTATTTAGGCAGCATTCGCTTACGTTATTTTTTTTTTCTTGTTTGATGCGCTTGTTTTCGCTTCCCGCTGGTGGGCATTCTGTTACGTGTTTTAAATCAGAGCTTGCGAGTTTGTAGGTGAGAGTGGGGTCTAACATCAAAAGAGCTCCATAGTCTGTGTTCAACTACCTTTTGTTCACTAGCAAGCGCACAAAGGAGGAGGCATTCCACAGACGCACAGTTCAAATTTTATTGTCTTCAAAGCTTTTAACTAATTAAATTTCTTTTTCCTTGTACATTACAGAGAATTGTGGAGGATATCGCGTATTTCTCATGTGTGCATTAGGCGTGTAGAACCTCATTTCCGTCCTTCAACTGGTCGTGGTGTTTGGCGCAGTAGTTGTGGGTGCGCTCGTACGCGGCCTTGTTACACCCGTCGTACGCACAGCGCTTTCCCCCTCCATGAGCCCAGCAGCAGCCATTTGACACTGCCACCTTCGTGCAACTAGGAGCAGAACACTTGGTGCCTCCTCCGTGAGCCCAGCACAGACCACGTGACTTTCCTCGTCGCTCGCATTCTTCCACAATGCACTTCACAGAGCCCCCTACAAACTCGACAGAAAAAGCTTAGATAATAACCTTTAACCGGCGAGATACAGACACACATGTACCATGGCGCCAGCAGAGCCCGGCGTGCTTAGCACTGGATTGACAACTTTCAAAGGAGCACTTCTTGCCGCCCTACGACAACGAAAAAGTCACGATTGTGACTAGGTAAAAAGCACTAAAACAGTCCAATCCTACCCCATGGCGGAAACAAAGACCCTTGTTGATAATGTAGTTTTCGCAGCCATTGACTTTACACTCGCGCGAGCGTTTTTTCTCCTCGTGGCTGAGTGTCGTCCTCATTTTGGCCTTGTGTTTAGCGGACACCTTGGCGGGTGTCGCGCGATTTGCACGCTCTCCCCTTTCTGTCTCCAGGGGATCGTCGAACCACTGTGGTTCAATGGCTGAGACGGTGTCGACGGCGTTCATGATGAAGTCCAGAGATCCCTTAGAGCTGACGCTGCACGTGGCGTCCATTGCGTTAACCGGTGTGCGCAACATGGCTGCTGGATTGACAGTGCGCTCGACTCCTCGAGTTGATAAATAGATCCCGGCAGGTTGGAACGTGGTCCGCCATAACCGTCCTCCATTGAATCGTAAGTACGAAAATGCTGAAAGGACAGTGCACCCATCGGTATGGCTTCGAATGGGTTCAACGTCGACAATCTGTGGACTGCGACTATAAAAAATGATTTTGACTTTCGGTTGCGTAAAACCTGCATTTGAATAAACGGGTGCTGTTCAGGGAAGGAAAATGTAAGCCTCGACAGGACCAATGTTTAATACTTCGTCGCTGTCGTGCAGATGTAGATTACCACTTGACCGTCGAATATTCATGTTGCTTTGTCCAGTCCACCCCCATTACTACGTGAATGGTGTATACACCAATGATATGTGATCTTTGAGTTTTTCAAGTTGGTAGTTCGAGAAAGAGAAACGATATTGCTTTGTCCATAGATACAATAGCGTGCTCACAACGTTTTGTTTTCACTTTAATTGAAACACAGTTAATATTAATGCGGTAGATTTCTACTTCAGACACCAACTACAACACAGCGCAGGCGGAGAGCAAAGCAGATCTTCGCCCTAGCGATGCATTGAAGATGGCCTCCGTCATATTGACGGTTGTCAAAGCGCGGCCAGCGGCTTTTCCACGAAGAAGTGCGAGCACCTGGCCGCCGGGCCGGCGGTGTCTGAAGCTCTGTCGGCATCGTGCTGCGTACGAGCCTCGTGTGGTCGTCGGTGGGCGGGAATATGCTAGTATGGCTACAATTACACGTATCCAGAAGCTGCGTCGGTACAGTGCAGCGATCCCATGAAATGGCATCGCTATGCTCGACTTGCAGAGCTCGCTTGCCTGCCATCTTGTTGTTGAAGTATTCCGGAGTGTCATCGCCAATCGCTCTCGCACCGTCAATGCGTTTGCGGGCGTGTGCACCCGTGAGGTTGACCGCGCGGCACGAACATGCGCAGAAACTCCAAGCTATTAGTCCGCTACACAGCTCTTCAGCCTGCTAGCAGGTGCGACTGACGAAGCGCAGCATACATCTGCCTTGCACTTTAAG